TGACCTTGGTTGTCTTCTGTTGTAGGATGGGGACTAACAAGCTACTGGGAAGCTCTGAATACATGGGTGATTTTGGAGCTCTCTGGTGGACTTAATTGCTGGGAATATAATGTCAGTCAGGGTGGGTATTTTCTCTTGGGCTGGTCAGATACTGTCTTTAGATCCTAAGTTGGTAAAGGGACCAACCATCCACACCCAGTTGTTAGGCTGACACTTTGGAATTAGCCTTCTCCCTCTTCCTTGTGTCCCACACTTTCTTGATATTGATGCCATGTCACTGATACGTTTTATGAGTTTATCTGGTGTCCTGCTTTTCCTTTGTCACTGCTTGAAACAGAAGACATCTGTCTTGTTATTAATAGCTGAAACCTTCTCATTCTCTCTGTTCTTCTCCTCACCTCTAGTGTACTCTCCTCAAGACCAAATGATGAGTTTAATATGCCAATCTGATCATATCATCAATCTTCTCCAAAAAGTTTTAATAGAGTTCTTGTTCTTAGAGGGTAAAATCTAAATTTCCTGTAAGGAATCCAGGAATCACTTTTACTTGACCACAGACCTTTTCCATTGTGAAGTTTACAGGCCTTTAATACTAAGGGCTTGTAATCCCCTAACATGCTCTGCTGTTTCCTGCTGAACCCTTGGTCTTGGATGCCTTCTTCTAGTTTTGCTTCTGTCAAACTCCTCTTCATTCTTTAAATTTAAGCATAAATATTTGTATTAGGCAACAATCAAAAGAATGTAACTTTCAGGTTAAACATTGCCATTTTCACCTTGAGATATTCATTTTGGATGTAATGGTTATCTCTGCTCCCCTACACTCTTCTTTTTGCCCAGAACTATTGGTGAGATGGAGAGCAGAAAGCTCAGAGAGCCTCAAACCTCTTTCAATCTCAGAAGTCAACCAGCACATTCTTGAATGTCCTCTGCCTTTAAATGTCCCTGAAGGATGAGAAGATATCAAATGTAAAACAAATGGTATTTAACTGCTCCATATTCTTTCTGCTATTCATTACAGTTTGAAGATTTTGGAAAGATTAAATCAAAAGCCTTAGAATTTCCTTTCATTAATGAAATAATCTATTTCAGCTTTTGTTTTACTTCCAATTTCCTGAGGCTTTCACTAAGGTTTAAAATAAATATTTAGTCTTGAAGTTATTTCTTAACTTTTTTCTCCCATCTACCTGCAACATGGTATCATCTAAGTGATGTTTATTATTTAGGTTTACAATAATCTAAAAATGTTTCAACTTTATAGCTATAATTTAGCTTCCATTTACAAATAAATACATGTGGTATTTGATTTTCTGTTCTTGTTAGTTTGCTAAGCATAATGGCCTTCAACTCCATCCGTGTTCTTGCAAAGAACACGATCTCTTTCTTTTTTATGGCTGCATAGTATTCCATGGGGTATGTGTACCACATTTTATTTATCCAATTGGCCATTGATGGGCATTTAGGTTGATTTCATGTCTTTGCTATTGTGAATCATGCTGAAATAAACATAAGCATGCATGTGTCTTTATGGTAGAACAATTTTTATTTATCTGGGTATATACCCAGTAATGAACTTGCTGAGTCAAATGGTAGTTCTGTTTTTAGCTCTTTGAGAAATTGCCATATTGCTTTCCACAATGGTTGAACTAATTTAAACTCCCACCAACAGTGTGTAAGTGTATCCTTTTCTCTGCAACCTTGTCAGCATTTGCTATTTTTTGCCTTTTTAATAAATGATAGCCATTCTGACTGGTATAAGATGGGAGTTAAATGATGAGAACATATAGACACAAAGAGGGGAACAAGAGACACTGGGGCTTACGTGAGGGTAAAGCATGGGAGGGAGAGGAGCAGAGAAAAGAACATGGGATACTAGACCTAGTACCTGGGTGATAAAATAATCTGTACAACCGCCCATGACACGAGTTTACCTATGTCACTAACCTGCACATGTACCCCTGGATCTGTAATAAAAGTTTAAAAAATAAAAATAGAAAAAGCAAATAAACAAACAAGAAACTCAAAAACTGTAGTTATATCTACTTAAGGCGATTAGATATAGATATCTTCCAAAACACAGTACATGATTGGTTTCCGAGTGTGTAGTAGTCTTTAAATATATTTCCATAAGAATTATCTGTTGATCTCTCTAACCTGCTTTCACTGATAACTACTGATTATTTGCTGAAGTGTCAAATACCTCAAAGAGCAAGACTGGGAAACAATGGAAACCAGCTATTTTTATCTCCGGTTATTTTTGTTCATTTGTTTTATTGGTGAGGTGTTAAGCAACCTGTGGGTTCCGCGGTGACTGTGACAGTGTTGTGCAGATGATCTGGACCCTGCGATGTAAGTAAAAGAAATGAGCAAATCAAGTTCACATATGTAACCATCCATCTCATCACAACAGTGTTTGATACCAGCTCCACTTTTACGCCCCACCAATTTTTCTTTCTCTTTTCATGCGATAGACGACTTCCTGAATATTGCTAGATATTTGACAGGAAAATAGAATTTAATGTACTTTAATAAAATTGTTACTTTAACATTTTCAGCGAATGCCTAACTAGAGGTTATTTGTGACAGAAAAGAATAGTCGGATGTCTAAGCACGTATTTATCAGCTACAGAATTGCTCTCACTGTACCTCAACATCTGAGCAATTTTCTAGTAATTCTGTCAAGATGATTTTCTTTCTAATGCCAGAGCAGCATGTGTGATTTATAAAGTAGCAAAAGGTTAATTCAGAGTTTTGTTTGAGTGCTCTTTCTGGAGGTGCTAAGTCAGTGCACCTGACAGAGTTATTAATTACACTATCAACATAAACTTTTCACTTTTTAAAGTTTGAAAAGTTTCTTTGTATTGACAAAGCCTTTCCCTGCTGGCTAAAATGAGTGCAGACTATGTACTTACCCAGAGTTACATTATGGAGGGGATGATCAGTAAATCTAGAAGTTCTTGATTCCAGAGTCAAAATTTGTTGGAAGTCACCCTAATCACGTGCAGCACTTTAGGCCCACCAGGACACAAGCCACTCTGGGGTTCCACTTTTATATTTTGATTTTGACTTGCCTCCTTCCCACTAATGTCAATGTAACTAGGAGCCAGTGCATGGTGCAGAAGTCTCCCACGTGCCACTCTCACCCTGTGGAGGAGTGTGCCGCTCTACGAGAACACCGGCAGTGCCCACCTAATGCCACCACTCTACCTGCTACTCTAGCCTGGGAGGAAGGAGACTGGTAGCTGGATGTCAGCCTCTCTGTCACTGCAGGATTTGATGACCCTGTTGTGGGGTGTGCACATAGAACTACTTCTTCTTTTTCTGGATCTAACACCATCAGCATCAATGTAAAACCACAGAACACCCAGCAACAGGTAGTGTCCCATGATGTTATCTTAGGGAGGTTCTCAAAACTGTCTTAAACCTGAGTGCCTCCTTCAGCATTTTTGAAAAAAAAATCACATGTTCTCTACATTTAGAAGGCCTCTTCCATTTGGCACAGTGCTTTATTTGATATCATCGCATTTAGCCTCAGTAAAGCAATAATGGGTTGGTTATTTTTTTCAAAACGAAGGATGAATAAGCTCAGAGAGATTCAGGGACTTACTGAAGGTTACACAGTAAATAATAGACTATTTTACTTTATGTCTAGAGTCTTCCACAGTATGAAATAGATTGTGGTTACTGCAACAAGTAACATTTTTGGAGACAGCTGTAACTTCTTTACCAGGAATAACCTTTGCATGTCACATTTAGAGACAAAATTCAAAATGCAAATTTTCTCCTGACAGTGGGAAAGCATTAACAAGTGGGCACCACAGGGCTTTACATATTCAAAATATTAAGCTAATTCTAGGATCATAGACTTGATGTAAGGCATGGTAGTTAATAGGAAAGTTCTAGATTGAAAACAATTTTGCACAAATGTACGTGTGTGTGTGTGTGTGTGTGTTTATTTGGAAAACATATTGCTTTAGGTGTTTTTGCCATTTCTTAGATACCAATTTTATATTCTGTGCTCACAGCATTTGGCATCCAATCTCTATGCATAAAGCCACCATAATGCTTTAAATTACTTTACATTTCATTTTTAGTCAATTGAAATAATAAACTAAGACTGTTTTGCTAATGAAGTACTTTCATGAGCAAAAATTAGAGATTTTTTGAACATGAGTCTAGAAATAGTTCAGTTTTCATATTTAGTGTCTGAATCTAAGTTTGTCACATGAAGCACAAAATCTGCTTTTTAAAAAATCAATTATATGTATGTATATATATATATATATATATATATATATAAATACTTTAAACTTTAAGTTCTGGGATACATGTGCAGAACGTGCAGGTTTGTTACATAGGTATACACATGCCATGTGGTTTGCTGCACCCATCAATCCATCATCTACATTAGGTATTTCTCCTAATGGTATCCCTCCCTTAGCCCCTTACCTCATGACAGGCCCTGGTGTGTGATGTTTCTCTCCCTGTGTCTATGTGTTCAACTCTCACTTATGAGCAAAAACATGTAGTGTTTGGTTTTCTGTTTCTGTGTCATTTATTGAGAATAATGATTTCCAGCTTCATCCATGTCCCTGCAAAGGACATGAATTCATCCATTTGATGGCTGCATAGTATTCCATGGTGTATATATGCCACATTCACTTTATCCAGTCTATCACTGATGGGCATTTGGGTTGGTTCCAAGTCTTTGCTATTGTGAACAGTGCCACAATAAACATACATATGCATGTGTCTTTTTAGTAGAATGATTTATAATCCTTTGGTTATATACCCAGTAATGGGATTGCTGGGTCAAATGGTATTTCTCGTTCTAGATCCTCGAGGAATCACCACACTATCTTCCACAATGGTTGAACTAATTTACATTCCCACCACCAGTGTAAAAGTGTTCCTATTTCTCCACAGCCTCACCAGCAACTGTTGTTTCCTGACTTTTCACTGTAAACAAATAGCATAAAAGCAATAAAAACATTTCCCTTCACTGTATTAAAATGTGTGACATTTTATTTGAGTTACTAAGAAATATCCTGGATTTAGAACTTCTGGATCTTCTTCACTTATAAAGCTGAGTCTATTCTTTACTATATTGCAGTTTTTACTTTAGGGCTTTGGTACATTTTATTTAATAAAAAGGGAAAATGCCAACAGTGAAAATAGAATAGAAGATTTCAAGCACAAGAGCATAGCATGGTTATGTTCAGGGCAAGTGAAGGGTCCCCTTCACTGGGATTCAATGACTGAAAATTATGAAGATATCAAAAGTGCAAGAAGTCATAGGAAATATTTTTCCTCAATGGCAAAGATGACACAAGTAGAATGGTTAAGAAGGAAGGTTTATGGGCTTTAATTCCCCAGCTGATGTTCAACACTTTATTTAGTTCTCATCTGGATTTTAAACTTTTGCTTGAAAAACAATTTCATATCAATTTCCATTTCTTTGGAAAGCTCCCATATGTAATTTGTTGATAACATCTCTGAAGAGCAGATTTAATGATATTGCCCAGCTGCTGCTCCAGATCCTGTAGGGTAGAGGAGGCCACAAGGGTCTAAGACATCTGTATTGTCTCAGAATGTCAGGACAGTACGGATGCTGCAATAGGAAAGAAGAGACATTGTGTTAACATTTAGACAACCCACATGCTTTCATGTGAGAGTCCAAGGAGCATTTGAGGTGACTCAGTGAAAATCCATCTGTGTTTCCAGCCGTGCTATTCCCATCCCTATGCATTTGGATCAAGTCAAGTAAAACACAAGTTCATGTTTTTTGGTTTTCTCTTGTGTTTTCTTTAACTTTAAGCTCACTCATAACATTCTGAGTATGCCTGTCATTTAGATTTTAATTCTACATTAGCATCTTCAAAAATCATTTTTGAGTGTCCATGTTCCTGGTATGATAAAGAATATAAAACAACAACAGATAATAACATGCAGTAAGTTCTTATTTGTCACATACTTCAAGCATTGTTTTTCACTTAAATCTCAACCTAAACAATGACACTAAAAGTGGGTTTTCACATTATTTCTCTTTTAGAGATTATAAAAACTGATACTTAGAAAGATTTGTAACTTGCTCTGGTCACACATCTGGTATAGAGTGTTGGGATTCAAACCCAAATATAAATATGCACAAACTATAAGATGATAGGTAACTTGCCTGAAAGGACTGATAACTTAAAAGTTAGGACCATGCTGGAAGTTTAATAGATCTTTGATACAGAGATGTTTAAGGATTCTTAGAAGTAGAGAATCAAGTTGATTTGTATTAATTCTAGAGTACTTCATTCTTGTGAAGATTAGAAATATAACATTTACACTAGAACTAGTGCCCTTTCTATAAACCAACTTTTGATAAATACTTTAAAGAAAAGATGGTCTTTGCGAATCTGAGAATTTTATATGTGTGCGTGTGTGTGTGTGTGTGTGTATACAAATATAAGAAAAATATATGTACATAATTTAGAGAATACAGCACAGAAGAAGCAGGTAAAAATATCTGTGATCTTACAACTTCAGAGTAATCATGGTCAATGATTTCTTGAATTCTATCAACTTTTTTCTAGACACAGATACATTTTTTTACTATCCTTTTTGAAAATTTGGGATCATCTTGTAAATGCAATTTATATGTTTTATTTTGTGAGTCTAAAATTAAATTATGAGAATTTGCCAATAAATTCATTTTTTTCATTTCTAATGGTTGGAATTTATTCAATCATATTCTTAATGTTGGACTTTTCAAATGTTTCTAAATATTGCTATTACAGATAACAAGTAAACACGCTTAAACATATATGTATGTTTCAGATGATTATTTCTATAGATTTCTAGAAATGGTATTGATTGCTGGGACAAAGGATCTAGTTTTTTTTTTTTTTTTTTTTTTTTTGGAGGTTTCTGGCACAAATCACCAAATTGCTTCCCTAAAAGGATGTATCAATTACTATTGGTGCCCTAGTCACCTTATTCTTACCAATATTAATTATTACAATTTTTAATCTTTGCTTATTGATAGAATTTATTTTATTTAAACATGCATATTACTATATGACATTCTTATAAAGTGAATTAGGCATGCTTAATGACTTCTTTTGTTGCTCAACACTGTCCTCTGGTTTCGGTCATCTATATTTGCCATCACCTTATCAGTTCTATGATGATGATGAGTCAATGACAATAATGATGAAAATGATAACTAACCTTTGATGATGACTGTTTTCCATATATATGTGTATATATATGTACTCTTGAGGGGCAGTGTGGTTTAATAGAAACTGAATAGATTTGCTAGCAATGAGATCTGCCTTTGAATTTTGGCTCCCCTTCCTGTCACCTGATGATTTTGACCAAGTCATGTCTTCTTTGCTTTTAGGTTTTCTCCTCTCTAAGATAGTGAGATTGAGACTGACACTGAGCATTGTCTGGGAATCACATGAGTCAATGCATGTAAGACACTTAGCAGAACAGCTGGTGCTCTGTCAGTGCTAGTTTCTTTCCATCCTCAAGAATATATATTGGATAAAATATCTAGTATAATAGTTTTGTGAGTGCTAAAGAAACACTATTTAAAATTGAAAACGTCATGAAATTAAGTGTGGGATAGCAGAAACATCTCAGACTTTGGAGCTAGAACATCTCAGACTTTGGAGCTAGCAGAGGTTAGATATAACAGCCTGCTTCCAGTTATGGTTCATATAAATGCCAGTAACACAGTTCATTATGTTAGGTGATTGTTAAGAGCAAGTGTTAGAGGTAGTGAAGGAATGTGTTCTCTTTCCAGGTCCACAAGGGAATAGTTTTAGGGGCAAGAACTTCCCAGTGCCATGCACTCCTCCCATCTCTCTCCATCCGGGAGATATAATGGTCTCTTTTTTAATTTTCGCAGGCACGGGAAGAATCAAAAAGTCAATCACTCCAGCGGAAGTTCTTAGGAACTCCTTTCATTGGCCAGAGGTCTTAAAGAAGGTGGGGGTTCCTCCCAGGTTAAAAGTCCCCTTGTTCCACACCCCTTTGGATTCTATGTTTGAATCCCCTTCCACAAACTCTCTCGTGGAAGCTGTCTTTCTCTCTCCTGGATTTTCCCTTTGGAGTCTCCTTCCACACATTTTCTCTCTCTCTCATGTGGAAGTTTTCTCTTCTTTTTTTTTTCTTTCTCCACCTAAAATAAATTCACTTTCTGCAAAAACTCTCTTTGGGTCCGGTATTTACTTTGTGAGGGCACCTGGCCCCCTCTCTCATTCTTGAGCAAGCAGGAGACCAAGAACCTTGGAGAAACGTCCTCTCAGGGGAGCTGAGGGCACCCTTGAACCCCAATATTTTGGAGAGCCGGCCAGGAGGGGGGTACAGCCAGGAGAGGGGTACAGCCAGGAGGAGGTACAGCCAAGAAAGGGGTACAGCCAGAGAAGAAAACTTCTAACTGTAAGTAAAACCGCCCCATTCTGTCCTGTTTCTTTAAGAACACCTGAAGCGGCCTCAGCCAGGCAGGGCTGCGGGGAACTGGAGCAGCAGCGTCCAGCTTTGGGGGCACAGCCCAGCCTGCCTTAAGCAGTGTGGCCCAGCCAGAATTGAAAGCTCAGTTTTTTTCCTCTAACCTCTCTCTCTCTGCTTTCCCTCTCTTGGCTTTATTTCTCTGTCTCTCTTTCCCTCTCCCCCTTGGCTGTTTCTCTGGGCAAAAACCTGTGGGAGAAGGGACAGGCAAATGCTATGTGCAGTTACCCGGGGTAGACCCGGGCGCGTGCAGGTGCAGTGGGGCTTTGGGCTCCCGTGCAGGGAGGAGCAGGGGAGCACCTCCCCTAGGCCTTTCTCTCATTGTAGGCTGGGAACGGCTCAGCCCCAGGGGCAAGCCCGAGTGTGTGCAGCAAGCTGCAGCCACCAGCACTGCTGGCCAAGAGAAAAGCAACCGGGAAGGGACTCAGTGTGTCCTGGCCAGGCACAGAGGCTCTAAATGCTATAACTTCCCTGAACACTCCTGCCACCCGTGCTAAGCAGAGGGGCTGCACTTGAAAAAGCAAAGCTGGGAAGTGCTTTTGCTGGCTGCTCTTGGTCCTGAAGGCAGGGCCTGCATGAAACTGCGGAACCAAAACTGCAGTCAGGGACGGAACAAGGGAACTTCCCTGGGGCATTCGCCTGCCAGCCACGGGTCCCTGTGTGGGCCACGGTCCAGGGTGCGCACATGGTCCTGGCATCACGGAAGAACAAAACAAGGGGCAGGTCTTCCCCTCCAGCAAACAGCAGGGTGGTGCAGAGGCCGGGCTTTTAAACTGACAGAGGCAAGCTACTTTTTTTTTCTCTCCCTACTGAGGGAAGGGAAATGGCTGCTGGCTGTCAGCTTCACCTGGGACACCACCTCAGGGTGCAGCATTCTAATTCAAAATGCGGCTTAAGAAAGCTTTCTGCCTTCCCCTAATGCAAGTGGCCTGTTAGCACAGTTGGTCAAGGTGTAGGGCTGGCAAGTGCAAATTTGCTGGTTCAAATCCCTGGTGAAGACAGTCTTGAGTTAGGAAAACCTTGGGAAATTTAGAAACTAAAGGCTTTGGGACTTTGTGTTTTGTGTGTAATTTGTCCTGCTTAGGATTTGCTCTTTTTCTACAGCAGAACTTTTCCATCCAGAAGATCATAGTTAAGCCAGTTCCAGGGCCCAAATAATCAATGGCAAGTCTCACAACCTTAAGGGCATTTTCCTACAATGAAAGATGGGTTAGGGAAGAGGAGGCCCAGGTCCTGAGGGTATTGTTCCATCCTCAGCCACACCTGACCTGCCTTCTTTGAACTGTGTGCTCTAATGGCCTCTCCCAAGAAGTTCACCCTTCTAGGGCAGTTTTATAAGTTGACCTGTGTAAATTGGACTTTTGCTGGGGAATGTTGGTACCCATATCCTGAGCATCACTGGCCTCGTCAAGGGCTCATTGCTATGTGACTACCCACCTGAATAGCCCCTGTCATTCTATGCCTCTATGGTAGTCACTGGAGGTCCTGCAGACAGTGAGCATGAGTCCTATGATGCTGGTAGGTCATGATTTGAATCCACTACATAGGAGGCCCTCTGATAAGATGGATCACACATCTTGGGCACATGAAATTTCAGGGTACTGACTGAAAGATGTTTCATTTCAGTACCCATTTTACCTAAGGGATGCCTTAGGTCGAAGTGGCTGTAATTTCTTTAACCAGGGGTACGGTCATCCCTTGTGTTCGATTTCAGATGGATGCTTCTATTCCCAAGCTCAAGTCCCCATTACAGTGTATACTGGAAAATTGGGACCAATTTAGCACGCAATCTTTAAGGAAGAAGCAGCTCATTTTTCTCTGCCAAACAGCGTGGCCAAATTAACCTCTGCCAAGTGGAAAACCTAGCCCCCAAAGGGAAGGGAAGAAAACCCAACAGCTTTCCTTGAGCAACTGTGGGAGGCTTTAAGAAATTATACTCCTCTGTCACCAGACTCCATTGAAGGTCAGTTAATACTTTAAAGGACAAGTTTATTACTCAATCAGCAGCAGATATCAGGAGGAAGCTTCAAAAGCTGGCCTTGGGGCCAGAGCAGAGTCTAGAATCATTACTGAATCAGGCAACCTTGGTGTTTTATAATAGAGACCAGGAAGAACAGGCTGAAAGGAACAGGAGAAATCAGAGAAAGGTTGCTGCCTTAGTCATGGCTTTCAGGCAAGCAGAGCCCAGGGGATCAAATGAGGGAAGGGCTTGGGTTAGCCACCAATCTGGAAAAGCTTGTTACCTTTGCAGTATGAAGACATATTTTATCAGAAATTGTCCTCAGAGGAATGGACCACCATCCCATCCATACCCATTGTGCCAAGGGAATCACTGTCCCAGGGGACAAAGGTTCTCAGGGCCTGAGTGTCTGACCAGATGATCCAATGGCAGGACTGAGGATGCCTGGAGCAAGTGCCAGCATGAGCCATCACCCTCACAGAGCCCCAAGTAAAGCTGATCATAGAGGTCCAGGAAGTTCATCTTCTCCTGGACACTGGCATGGCCTTCTCAATATTTCTCTCCTGCCCTGGAGACTTGGTGCTTGTTAATTCTCTTCCCTCAGATTCTCCCTCTCCAGGCCCATCCTGGGAAGGACGATTTTTGGTCATTCTGTCTACCCCAATGGCAGTTAAGGTGGTGGGAATTGACTCATGGATTCATCACACTTGGCTGAAGCTTTGGACATCTCCTGAAAAGTCATAGACCCTCCACTCTGCAGCCTGAAGTTCCAGGAGACAACCCTTCATACACCAGTGAGCCATTAGAAGATCTACATCTGCTTTTCCAACAAGATACTCAGGAAAGTAACCATGCAGAAGTTTAATTTATATCCTGGCATTAACAGAACTATAACCCTCAACTTTACTATCTCTCAAACTCTGATTATCCTTTTCATAGTCTTTTTCTAGGAAAACGCTGCTATTTTGTAAACCAGTCAAGTATTGTTTTGAATGCAGAACTCAGGAATCAATCAAACACAGGGCTAAAAATTTTCAAGAAACAGTACTGTGAAGCTTGTTTAACAACTGACTGACCTGGCTCTATTCTCTCCTAGGCTTGTTTATAACCATTCTACATTTGTTGGCCTCTGGGCCTCTTGTCTTTAACCACCTTGTCACATTCATTTCTTATAGAACCGTAAGGTCACAAGTAATCCTGCCACTGGAACCCCAGATGTCCTTGGCTTGTGGGCTCTATCATGGACCTCAGGATCAATCTGCACCCCTAAAAGGATCCCCTCTGGGGGAAACCTCAGTTTCAGGGCCTCTTCTATGCCCCATTTCAGCAGGAAGTAGTTAAAGAGAGATTGACACCCCTGTTCCAATAGAAGTTAAACTTTCCTGTTCAGAGTGGGGAATGAGGGAATGTGTTGTCTTTCCGGGTCCACAAGGGGGCATAGTTTTAAGGGCAAGAACTTCCCAGCGCCATGCCCCCCTCTCATCTCTCTCCATCTGGGAGATTTAACGGTCTCTCTTTTAATTTTCGTGGGCACAGGAAGAATAAAAAAGTCAATCATTCCAGCGAAAGTTCTTAGGAACTCCTTTCGTTGGCCAGAGGTCTTGGAAAAGGTGGGGTTCCTCCCAGGTTAAAAGTCCCCTTGTTCCACACCCCTTTGCAGTCCATGTTTGAATCCTCTTCCACGAACTCTCTCGTGGAAGTTGTCTTTCTCTTTCCCGGATTTTCTTTCTGGAATCCCTTTCCACACATACTCTCTCTCTCTTGTGTGGAAGTTTTCTCTCTTCTTCTCCATGTTTCCCCTTTCTCTATCTAAAATAAATTTGCTTTCTGCAAAAACTCTGTTTGGGGTCTGGTATGTACTTCTTGAGTGCACCTGGTACCCTCTCTCATTCTTTAGCAAGCAGGAGACCAAGAACCTTGGAGAAACATCCTCTCAGGGGAGCTGAGGGCACCCCTGAACCCCTGAACCCCAACAGTAGGAAATAGAATCGGCTTATTTTTCTAAGGCTTAGAGGTAATGTAAGATAAACATTTATAATAGGGTTTAGTACCTGTCTTTTACCACAACTTTTCTTTGTAAATTTTTTATAAACTACAATAAAAAGAAAAAGGAAAATCTAGTAATACCTACTTAGAAAACAATCCAAATGTAGTCTCACCTACTCCCATAATGAAAATACTAAAGTAGTCCTGAAAATAATTAGATGTCACCCTTATCTGGATGACAGGCAGAGGTGTAAATGATTCCACGTTATAATTATGGTTCTTCAACTAAACTTTTTTTTAAGGGGGTAGGTGCCAAAGTGAGTGTTCTCTTTTAAATAAGGCTGAGTGACTCTAATCATTCGGATTTGCTGTAATCAACATAATTTGGCTTCAGCAGAATAGAAAATGCAAAACAACTGTATTTTAGCTTCTCACAGTATGATCTTACCTGTGCTCCATGCAAAGACTGAACTGGTAATGGAAAACCAAGTTACTCTAATTTTTCTCATCCTTCCACCCTTTCATCTCTGCTAGACAATCCCCTACTGTAGAATACAAAGCCAAACAAAAAAACAACTTAAAATCTACCTCTTTCCAGAGCGAAGCAGGTCAAATCCTTCATTTATTTTTTCAAAAGGTAAAACATTGGTTATTAATGCATCTAGGGAAAACTTCTTAGCCATAAAACCAGCCACAAGTTTGGGGACATCTTCTTTACTCTTAAAGCCTGAAAAGAAGACAATATCATTGTTAGAGTCAACCAAGGTAAGTAGGAGAATTGAAGAGAAGATTTTTCAAATAAATGAAAGTTTAGAAAAGGTGCTGCATTCCAGACTGCTGTAACTGAGGATAATAAGAGATAGAGTACTTCAGTATGCTTTTACCATGCTTTGACTTAAGAAAATCACAGATACACAAGGGTCCTTAGTTATTCTCTCTCACATAGAGAAATTATAGTACAGATGTTATGCCCAAAGTTAAGGAGCAAATTCATCAGTTTTCTAGATTTGCATGTAGATGATTTATTGTTATAGATTTCCATGGCCTACTAGAAATTTATTTGCCTTATGCAGTCACAAGTACAAAAAGAGGTGGATATGAAAGATTCTGGTTAATAGTGACATCAGAAAAGTCTATCTTGGGGTTGTGCATGGTGGCTCATGCCTGTAATCACAGCACATTGGGAGGCCGAGGCAGGCAGATTGTTTAAGGCCAAGAGTTCGAGATCAACTTGGCCAACATGGTGAAACCTCATCTCTACCAAAAAAAATTAGCTGGGCACTGTGGTGCACATCTGTAATCCCAGCTACTTGGGAGGCTGAAACAGAAGAATCACTTGAACCTGGAAGGTGGAGGTTGCAGTGAGCCAGGATTGTGCCACTGCACTCCAGCTTGGGCAACAGAGTGAGACTTAGTCTCCAAAAAAAAAAA